ACATGTCTTTGCAGTCATTCTGTCCCCCTGGTGACTCCTGCTCTGTTCTTTTCTAGAATCTTATAACTGGAACCATGCTGTTATGTGGATAACATTGCTGAGCATGGTCCCATTGTGTGGATGGCACCTGTTGTTTCTTCACCCACTGTGGGGGAGATAGGACCTGGTGTATGCTTTGAAAGCATCACTCACTGTTATTAGTTTGGGGTTTTTATTAATGCAATTTTTTGCATGGACATATGGTTTAATTTTCCTTGGGTAAATACTTAGGCATGGGACTGCTGGATCATATGATAAGTGTATGTTTAACTTTATAAGAAGCTGCCACAATTACCAAATTCCCACCAGCAATGTATAATATTTCTAGTTGCTCCACATCGCCACCAAAACTTGCTATTGTTAGTATTTTTGATATTAGCCATTCTGGTAGGTACGTAGTGGTATCTCATTGTGGTTTTAATTTGCATTTCCCTAATGACTATCTTTTGCCTTCCGTATCTCATCTTTGGTTAAGCATCTTTAAATCCTTTTATGACCATTTTTTAAAATTAGGTTGTTTGTCTTATTACTGAGTCATAAAGTGTTCTTTATGTATTTTGAATGCAAGTTTTTGCCAATATTTTTGCTTAGTCTGAGGTTGGCCTTTTTCTTATCAATGGCTTTTAAGCACAGTAGTTTCTAATTATGAAACCAATTTCTCAGTTAACCAATTTATTTTTCTTTTATAGATCCTTTTTGTGTTGTATTTGAAAGATCTTTGGTTAACCTAGGATTACGAAGATTTTTCTCCTATGTTTCCTTTCAGAAGTTTTATAATTTTATCTCTTACATTTATATTTATGATCCATCTGGAGTAGTTTTGTGTATATGAGGTAAGCACTGAGGTTCATTTTTCTACATATAAATATCCAATTGTCCTAGCACCATTTGTTGAGAAGTCAGGGATGAATTCTGTCCCACAGTGTGACCTCACTGATCTCACATAGCTCTGGACCAGGCTGTCTTCAAAATACAAAATGTTACTAAAATGAGACTAGAGCCAAGACAAATGGGGAAGGAATAGTCTTTTCAACAACTGGCGCTTAAATAATTGGATATTCACAGGCAAAAGAATGAAATTGGACCTCTACTTCATACCATGCACAAAAATAAACTCAAAATGGATCAAATATCCAATTTTAAGAGCTAAAATGATAGAACTTTTAGAAGAAAATAGGTTTAATCTCTGTGACTTTGGATTACATTTTTTAGCTATGATACCAAAAGCACAAGCCAAAAAAGGACAATATAAATTGTTCTTCACTAAAAACTTTATCGAGTGACACCATTAAGAAGTAAAAAGACAATTCACGGAACGGAAGAACATTTTAGAAAACCATATATCTGATGAGTGATTTGTATCTGGAATATATAAAGAACTATTACAACTCAATAATAAACAGGAAAATAACCCCTTTAAAAAATAGGCAAAGGATCTGAATAGTTGTTTATCCAAAGGTGTACAATGGTCAATAAGCACATGTAAAGATGTTCTACATCATTGGCCATCAGGGAAGTGCAAATCAAAACCACAATGAGATACCACCTCACACCCACTAGAATGGCTAGAATTTAAAAAAAAGAGGAAAGTAATAAGTGTTGGCAAGGAGATGGAGAAATCAGAACCCCATATACTACTGATGGAATTTAAAAATTGTACAGACACTGTGGAAAACAGTTTAGCAGTTCCTCAAGTCGTTACATACAGTTTCATATGACTAGCAATTCCACTCCTAGATATATAATCAAAAGAAATGAATACATGTCCATGTAAAAACTCATATAAAAATGTTCATCACAGTATTATTTCCAGTAGCCAAGAAGAAAAAACCACCCGTGTTCATCAGCCGATGAATGGATAAACAAAATTAGCATATCCATACAGTAGAACGGTCTTCAGCAAAGTAAGAGAATGATACATGCTGTAATATGGACGCGCCTCAAAAACATGCTAAGGGAAAGAAGCCAGTCACAAAAGACCACATATTGTATGACTGATTCCATTTGTATAACATGTCTAGAATAGGGCCATCTATAGAGACAGGAGATTAGTGGTTGCTAATGGCTAAGTGGGGGTGAGGGGGTCCTGAGAGGATTAAGGGAGGTTAGCTTAAGGGTATGGGGTTTCTTAAGGGGATGATGAAAATGTTTTGGATTTAGAAAGTAGTAATGATTATATAACCTTGTGAATATACTAAAACCCACTGAATTATACACTTTAAAGAAGTGAATTTTGTTACGTGAATTATATCTCAATTAAAAAAAAAAATCATTGAGTCAGCCAGACATAATCTTTGGGAACATATTGAAGTCAAGATGAACTGACATATCTGTTGACACTCAAGAGAACATTTATACTCAGGATTCAAGATTTCACATTTGTTTAAGGGGGAGGCAGGTTGTTCCTCCTCGGCAGTGGGCTGGTGTGACTGATAATGCACACAAGGCTGGTTTTCTTTAATGTTCTGTTAAAAAATTTGTTCCCTTTGGACCAGCATCTAGCAGCCATTCCAACAGCAAAATAGGTCTCACGTAAAACTGGGGTAGATAGCAAATTGTCAACATTCTCACAGCCACCATTTTTCTATCATAAGCACCAGGAGAATTCTTGAATGCAAACTCCAGGCATATGGCAAACAGCTGAATAAACACACATTTTGAATCACCGCTTATGACAAGCTTCCTGTGGAAGCCTGATGGGTCCAGTGTGTAGTTCTAATTATTAGTGATCACGTCTAGGCTCTGCTCTTTGTGTTGTTTCTGGGCTGCTCATCGGCTTTCTTCCTATGTGTCATACTCTGAACATATCTGAGGTCACCAGGCAAGTGAATGAAGTCGGACAAACAGCAATATTATTAACTTGTATAAAAGAAAATTTTCTACACATCCCCCCCACCTTCCCCCACTTCCTCCGCAACACAAGCTGAATGCCTGACCTCTCCCTAATGTCAGCATTTCTACTTTTAGTGGTTAAAAAAAAGAATAAAAGGAGTACAATTTATTTTTTAGTGAAAGCTTCTAAATCTATAAACTCTCTTTTTGTTCATGAAGAGAAGGCCTAGCGAGGCTTTGAGGTTTGCCGGGAGGCTGAGCCTGCAGCCAGTTTATACCGCCTTGGGCCCCATGTTGGAGCCAGCCCAGGCCACATGCTGCAATAGCTCAGCCTGGAAGTTACACTGCCACATTCACATGTTCTCCTCTACATTCCTCATACAGTTGTTATTAATTTGGAAGAGCTTGAGGTTTAAAAATCAACCAACAGTTTCCATTTAAAACACTTAGGTATACATTTTAAGTAAAAATGGTTTCGGTGAAATTAGCTTAAACCAGGCCCACCCCAGTATTTGGTCAGGACAGCTTGGTGTTTGGACGTGTTCTTGCTCTGTCGGCATCTTGCACACATGTATCTGAGAAGACTGGACTCACACTCTAGGAACAAGATCACTGATATGTAGGCTAATCCTTTAAAAGCTGTGACCTATCTTTGTCCGCGCAAAACCTCATTTGATAGAGCTTAATTAAGTTCAGTTCACCAAATACTTGTGGTCTCCAAAAGGCCCTATCCTCTGAAGCCTACAGATTGTCCATCCACAGTTTTTGCCCTGCCCCTTGTCTTCAGGGGTTCTCTGACTAGTTTGTAGACCAAGCAGTTCTCAGGTGAAGCTGCTTTCCATGAGGCTCAGAGTGGCCACATGGCTGGGTTTGGGTTTGGAACATGGAGGGGCTTGCATCTGACTTAAGCATCAGCCCAGGTGTGCATTTCTGCAGCAGGCACTGTGAGAGCAGGGAAGAAAATGTGTTCTAGGAACCTGAAATCTCACTGTGGAGCCTACTTTAATAGTCTCTCTCATATCGCCCCAACCCTGCAGTCTATTCCCATAAGAGCAAACAAAAGTTTCTAAGAACTGAGACAACGGGACCACTTGTAACTATATCTGTTGTGCACATTCTGTTGTTTTTCTAATAACCTAAAAGCCAAGTCTAAATTAAGGTGTCAGTTCTGATATACTAAAGATTCCCTGGGCCTACTGCACAGATAATAACAGACATTTCCAGAATTATTATATTATGTGGGGGAAAGCCACCCCTTGCTTAGAGTTTGCAAGCCTAGAAATTTTTGAAATACCACTTCATTTCTCTCTTTTAGAGAGAATATTTTTTACTCTAAAATGATACACTGCTTCATCATGAAGCTGACTTTTTGCAGGGCATGCTCCCCAAAAACCCATTACACAGAATAGTTGGGCACTGTGCCTGGGGGAGATGAACAGTTCGATGGGAGAGTAGCCGGCCGGCCTCACACTATGCTGGAGCTGTCTGGTTACTGATGTGCAGGCTGGAGCCGTTTGGTGGCAAGTGTGAGGATAGAAAAGTGGGAGCATCCACTGTGGTGGAGGCTAGCCCACAGACTTCAGTTTGAAAGACTTTTAAAGCCAAATGCCAAAGCTGTAGAGCAAAACAGTTGCTATACCATGAGAAACCTGGTACACAACAGTTCATTTCAGTCATCAGGGTCAGCAATCACCTTGGTGAGTCGGCTGGTCCCTGTTGACTGGCCGCCTCCGGGAAGGATGGAGGGGCTGTTTCCGATTGGAGAGGACTAAGAAAGCAGGACGGCCAAATGCTACAGGACCTTGGGCGAATAAACCGGTGACACTAGAACAAAGTTGTTCTGTAACATATTAATACTGGGGAGTTGATAGAGTGGCAGCTTAGAGGCCATGTAGCAATGGAAAGATCTAGAACCACAGCACCAGTGAGCACAGGAGGCAGAAATGTGGATGATCATGGCCAGGGCACCACGATGCCACATGCTATACAGGTGCCTGGCACATTGGAAACTTAAAAGACTTTCAGGGAATGAGAGACACCTCAAAAGGGTTTCTCACTTCTTTTTAGTCATCTGGAACAGCATCCTGGTGCTCCACAGATGTCTCTGTAACTTTTTTTTCTCCCCATAGGAAAAGTACCCAGCAGCTGTGCACCTCTCTGAGGGAGCCTCCTCCAGCTACATGAAGGTCCAGAGCACCAGCAAGCCAGGGTGAGTGGAGATGCCCCATGGCACACTAGGCTAGCCTCGCTGGCCAAGTCCCTCCCCAGCAATCAGATGGCTGTTTCCTGTTAAAAACAAGGATAAAAATAGAAGACAAATATACACTACCTGACATCTTGAGAGATGTCTGTGGAGTCATAACAGATAGATATGCAGCTGGGTAGGGGGGCTCACTGAGCGAGAGAAAGGGAACAGAGGGACAGTGAATGTCTGCATAGTTGGTAGGGGGAGGAAAACGCCAGCAGGTGGATTCACTGCCAGGGTCCTTAGGGGACCACGGAAGGGAGGCCAGGAAGAGGTAGAGCTGTTATGATCAACTTATTTCAGAAAAGTTCAGGAGGCTACAAGCGCTGAGTGAGAAGACTCATCTGGGTCTCTCAGGTGCCATGGGCGCCCTTGTGTGTGCACGCGGAGAGGTCTGCCTAAATGTGATGTACTTGGTGACCTGCATATGAGCGCCTAAAGATCTTTTGATTTCAAGCCTTAAAATTGTGTCGTAGTTTTGAAGGCTTCTGGGACTTGGGTTTTAATAATAAAGTGTTATTTCCAAATTTCACCTCTGGTGGCACATGTAGCTATAGATCATTTTCAGTGCTTATACTCGATTGGGCGAATATATGTATTTCTGCATTCTTCAGGTCTTTAGCATTTGGGTTGTTTTCCACTATTCCTAACCTTCCTGTTCATGTCCCCTGGCACATGAGTATACAAGCTCCTCTTGGGTGTATACCTAGAAGTGCAATTCCTGAGTCATGCAGTAGATTCAGCTGTCACTGCAAAATTCTTTTCCAAGTAGTTTATCAATTTATATTTCCCACTGGTAATTGGAAGTTTTTGTTGCTCTACGTCCTGCTGTACTTGTACTGTCACACTAATATTAGTGGGTACAAAACAGTGTCTGTGATCTTCATTTCCATTTTCCTGTTTGTTTGTGTTATTCATGTTTGACTGACCATACTTCCTCTTCATCTGTGGGTAGATGTCTTTAGGAGCAGGGCCAGCTGAGCATGGCCTCCGGGAAGGTTGGGTGGAGGGCAGCACTCCTGCCTGTGTGGGTGTCCTCTTCTTGCTGCATAGTTTACTCTTTTAACCAGGTTTCAAAGGCACTCAGTGATGGATCATACCTCTTTCAGATTTGAATTAGTAATCGTTTGGAGGATACAAATAGATGAAGATGGGAAGATTTTGCCAAAGCTGGATCTTCTCACCAACGTGCCACAGCAAGGTAGAGAGGGGCTCCGTGTGGGTGTTCTGGTGACTTCCTCATGTGCCTGACAGAGACATCTACTTATTTCATCTGGTTTTTAAGTTGAAAATCTCATTATTGTACTTTTTACCTCAGTTTTTAAAATATTTTTAAAATAATCTGTGAAAAAGCACATGCTGGGGCGGGGCGGGGGGCGGTCGCCGGTCGCTCCCTCATGGGCCTCCTGGGCTGAATGCACGAGGGGAATGTTCTGCCTCTGCCTCTAACACACGGGTAAATGCTGTGTTCACAGTCATGACACCGTCATCCTGGCTCCCACTCAGGGTGGCCAGTTGGGGAGGAAGGAACGGTCTCGGTGAAGTTTCTTACCCAGTGTGTTTTCTTTACAGCCCTGAAGTTGGACAAGAAGGGAGTCATAGAAACTGCTCCTCTCAGCTTCCGAAGCCTGCTAGGAGTGCTGGGCATTGAAGCAGCTCTAGAAAGCCTAATAAAGTCGCTTTGCACAGAGAAAAATGACTAGTTCCCGAACAGTGAACACATAGGAGTCAGATGCTGCACCAGAAGGCATGTGATTTTATTGAATATAAACATGTTATTTTCCACTGGGAAACTATACCTTTAGAACATGTTGTCTAAGCAGTTGTGGCACATTACATATAAACTGTCAGGACACAAAAAATAAATACAGCTATTTAAATGCAAAATGCCAAACGAATGATATGTATATTTTTAAAAATAAGGTTAATATTTGAGAAAGTACAAGAGTGGGTGTCTGTCCTTGGATGCGGGAAGCTGTGTCATCATCCCACCCCACCCCACCCCACCCCTGCCCAGCACCCAGTCTAAGGGCAGAGGCAGCTGCCCAGCACCTGGGGGCTCTTGGAGCTTTATTCCTTAGACATTCCTCAGATGTATCTTCCTCCTCACCTCCCTGCTCTGGAAAGCAGCCATTGGAGGCGTTCAAAGCACCTCTCCAAGAGTCCTCTGATGGTCACTCTTCTTGGTCTTCCACAAAAAAGTGAAGCATGAGCTTTAAAAACGCAGTAAGACTGCAAAGATTGCATTGTTCACTCACACAGGGCCTTAGTACCCCCATCCCTCTGCACAGAAGAAACAGGGCTGTTGTGTAAGTCCCCCAGAGTCTAAGTGCTGCCCTGACTTCAGTCACCCATTTAAAATGTTGTTAGAACTGGTGAAAACATTGTTTCAATCAAGTGAACACCGCAGTCAGGGTAGAGGCTGCAGTGGAGTGAGCATAGCAATGTTGGACTAAGGCCAGCCTAGCAGGGGGCACTCATCTAGCTGCTCTTACTCCACGTTTCAGACTGTCCAGTCTGGCTGGGATGGACCCTGGGACACCGCCCAGCCAGCCTCCTCAAGGGGCTGGGATTCCAGAGCTCTGTGCACAGGGACCCAGGGTCCTCTGTGGACGGTAGTGCTGGGCAAGACCATGTCCATGTGTCATCGTTGTGTCCCATGCACTCCATCCCCTGTCCCAGGACAGCACCAAGGAATAACCTCCAGCCAAAACAACACTGACAGCTGCTTCCCTCCCCACACTCTGGAGCCTGTAACTCGCCCATGAGAATGCAGATCCACATGTCCCTAGAGATGGAGTCTCCAAAGCCCCCAAACCTCAACACACTCATGACGAAAGGTGTGTGTCATTTGAGTATCTTTTTGACTCTCTGAGTATAGAAGTAAGAAGTAAATGTTAGTGCAGAACTGAAGAATAAATTCTAGAAGAGCTGGCTTGATTCAAACGTGTAATTCTCAAGTTATCGCAAAATTCCCCACAAAAATTTACAATCAGCAAAATATTCTTATTTTTCATGTAGCATTTTCATATAATTCCATGTTTTCACTAATATTATAATATGTTACAATAAGCCTTCATTAGTCCCTCAATATGATATAAATAATCAAATCTGTACAACCTACCATAGAATAAAAAACTGAAGCCAAGATTCCCAACAGTTTCCATAGCAGCCAGGCACACTTTGGGTGACCCCAACAAGAGCCCTCTTGGTACCAGCCAGGAGTTACTCATCTTGCAGAAGGGAGGTGGCCCAGCACCACTTGAGGCTGCAAACACCATGCATCTTAGTGAAACCCGAGAGAGCAACAGGTACCGAGAGGAGAGAAAACTCAGTGCTGGCTCTGGAGAGCTGGCTGAGATTCCCCAAACACCCCAAAATGCCAAGAACACAGAGCTGGAAGGAACACTGCTGCCCCATGACACCCACCCTGGGCACAGCAGCTCAGTGGTACAGCTCTGCTTCCAGCTTCTACAGCAGCAATTTTAGGTGGGAAAGAATCCCTTGTCTCCCCTAAAGTTAAAATCATTCTGTAAAAAAACAAAACAAAAAAAGAATGCAAGTCAATGCTCGAATGAGTGGTGTTCACCCCTGACCTGAGTCCTGCGATCCCTGCCAACCCTGTGCAGAATGGCGGCCACGGCACCTCCACAGGGACCCCAAGTCCACAGTGCTCAGAACGGATGTCTGCACCAGCAATCCATCACTCTCTGCAGCAGGGAACCACTTAACTGTGCTGACGTGTCGCTTGCATTAAAAAAAGTGACCAAGTTACTCAGCTGGGCAAGTTCCAGTAGTATCAATCTTTTCTTAAAAGTCCAAATTTTAAGATGTACATGACAATTCAAGTTTTTTATGTCAGGAGTCTGGTGGTAGGAGATCCAAACCTTGGGTCTTATAATAAGGCTTTTTGTATTAGAGATAAGACATGAGCCCAGGGCGGGAAGGAAGAACTGCCCAGAGGGGCCTCCCGAGACACAGCATACCACAGGGCTCACATCTCACATTCCTTGTCCATTTCTAGTACTCTTTCATTCCACATCTCCCAGAAGCAGCCCCACCTCAACAGTGGTTAAAAAGCAAAAACATTCACAGCCAAAAGTCACCCAACACAAGAGAAAATAGCTCTATCATTCAACCTTCACATTCTATCTTCAAGTTTCAAAGACACCACAGGAAGGAAGTTAGACCTTATGGAGAACTAATGTGCAATCTTCGCTTTCCTTGAACCTAGTCGACATCATGGTGGCATCTTTGGTGTGTACAGTCTTTGAATAGTAGTTGACTATCTTGCCATCCAGTTTGTACTGATGAGGGATGCTCTCATAGGGCTTGAGGTCAAGGTCCAGCACAGACACGGAGAAGGCAAACCTGGATCTTGACGAAGGGACGATGGGCCTTTGATCAGAGCTGGAAGTAAAAAAGCAATTTCAGACCTCCCAAATCCTCTTATGCATTCCATCTCTGTGCCAGCTGGATGCACTAGTGCTGGAAGCTTCTGCAAGAGAGGCACCTACTGTGTGTGATACCTGCCACCACACCAGACGAGAAAGGGTTAAAGTGCAAAAATGGGAAAGCAATTATGTAGAATACGTGATTGATATTTCCCATATCCCAGTGGTATAAATGAATGCTGACAAAATTACTTTACTGTGGGCCAAGAATTACAAAACCCAAGAAAAAGTAGAAAGTAGATCTGGCCATTCAACAGCCAAATGGATAAAATGTTGAGAACAGAATTCTCATACGCCCTTCCCATTTCTGGTGAGAGCTGATGCTCCTTTCTGCTTTCTCATTTGGAGACAGCTGGTTTCATGTTTTATTCTCAAATTGTATTTGCACTGTTTTGTATTTTGTTCCCTAGGGCTTAGTTTTGTGGGTTTTCTAAACATCAGAATAGTCCTATGCTTAAAAAAAAATATGAACAATTACTAGTACTTAAAAACAAACTAATTCTGAATTTTGTCCTAAGACTGTTATGCTTCCCATGTTCAGTGCACATCTGCATCCGGTTGACTCGTTATCTGGTGTTAGATGAGTTCAGTGGGGCTGAAGGGAAGTAGAAGTCCTGATTGCTCGATGCTTTCTACTATTTAAATAGTAAGTAGTAAGAAATCATTCAAAAAAAAATCAAACAAAACTCTAATTTCAAAAGCTTCTGCCTGGGAGAGGGAAGGCTGACGAACACATTCCTGTTCTGATGAAGCTAATCAGGGCTTAGACTCTGACTCAGTTCCTACTCCAAAATACAGCTGATTGGAAAAATGAATCTGGGGCTCAGTTTCTGGGTTCTTAAACGACTCCCTCCTGAACAGCAGAGGACACACTTGCAAATTCAGGTCTTGCTTTGGAGTCTCCTCTCAGGGTCTAAAACCCAAACTCCATGCAGCTAGGCTTGGCATAGCACATGTCTCTAGCCCTCGACAGGGCTACACATTTTAAAGGACACCTCAATCTCTCACTTCAGAACTAGCGCCCAACAAAATGATGTGACCCTATCACACAGAGGCTTGTGGGAGGATGCTCCGAGGGCTTGCCCCTACGGGAAGTCTGACCATTTGTCGACCACAGGAGCACCCTTGTGTGGCTCCTGACACCTAAACACTTTGCCCCCTGTATCTGAGACTGGTGCCTATGTGGCTCAAAACCTTCTGGATACGTGTCCCAGCAACTCTCTCAACGTGTCAGTTTTTATTGAGGGTACCAGGGCCCCAAGCCCTCAGCAGGCCTCTCACATTTCTGCATCCTGACTGTGTCTTCCCCTCAGGCAGGGCACTGGATAATAACATCTCATTCAAAACGAGCTTAATCCAGCTAATGGATTCCTCATAGCTAAACACTGGGGGCATTTTCTTTAGTAATAACAGTTTTCAACTAAACAGAACAACCATTTTTTAATATTTTAGTTATACCCTATAAATGTGCCTCCAAGTTTCCTATCAGAAAATGGGTAATTCTGTACCTGCCGAAGAGCAGGAATCCTAGGAATATTTAGTTCAAACGCACTAGAAAAATGGGTGGCTAGCAGCCAGTAACAGTCATCTTGACCCTGGAACATTTGTCAGAAGCATGCAGAACATTCCGTAAATACTGTGCATGGGGTTTTGCTCCCTGCAGATCAATGCTGAAAATGCTGCCTAATTACTAAGAGATTATCAGGTTTATCCCGAGTTCCTAAAAAAAAGGTGGGGGAGGAGACCGGATGACAACAGTGATGTCCAGGAAGAGATGCTACAAACAGGCAGAACAATGCACGTGTTGCTTTAAAGGCTTCAAATGACCATGAAGGTCAGCATAGTGGGCCTGGTAGAGGACAGAGGAACAGGCCCACAGGAACTTAGTCTCTTGGTCCTCAGAACCTTGACAGAAGACGGGGGCTTCCTTTGAGAGAAAGGAATTTGCACCACAGTATCAAACCGCTTCTAAGTCCTTAGGGTGTTTTCTTAGAAAACAATAGTAATCTTCAATTTAATAGAACAATCTTTTAAAACTATTCTCATAAATGTCCTTTTGATGGAATTATAAGCTTTTAGAGAACAAGAGTTAACAAGTGGGATGATATTTAGTAGGCATCAGAGATGAGCCTCTGCTCATAAATGTGGGTCCTGCCTGGGGCTCCCTAATGAGGGGGAAACTGATTCTAGTCAATTCACAAAACCCACAGCAGTGAGCACCTCACCTTGCATCCTGCAGACAAGGGGACAGCGCGATCATGATGGAGCAGTCTTTTGCAGTCATGGCAACCCGGTACTGCTGAA